TCTGTTGTAACTGGATGAAGTACAATAACTGAACTAGGAGCAGTGTTATTCCCTTTCTCCCTATCTCTCTGGTGACTGAACTACCTACTAGGCTATATATTCATGTTTCCTCTTGGTTTCTGATTTAATCAGTCTTGACAGTGTAAAATGGAGAAGGGTGACTGCATCAAGCTCTTGTATTTAAGGTCTTCTGGCAGAGGGGAGCATTTGCATAGATGTCTCATGGACTTTGACCTCCTGTCCTTTTTTCCTGTTGTTTTACAGCCCCCCTTCACAACTGGCTTTCTCTGAACACAGGAAACAAAAAGGCTCATCCTTCAGTTTCTGAAGTTCTCTTGTACTCCCTGCTCCAGCAGAGCTGCCCTTAACAATGTCTTTTCTGAACATCCTCCACACTTCATTAGTTTTTTCTGGTGCTGAGACTTCTTTCAGCACAGGTAACTGTAATTGTTACTAGCATTGCATAAAGGAGAATGATGCATTTTATTATACTCTTTGCAATGAAGTCTGGTTTTCTACCTGGATACACGGTACAAGCATTTTGGGCACTGCCACATTAAATTAATAAACTGCAGAAAAAGGAAGGCAGTGTTTGTTAGGGTGGAGGATGTTGAAGAGTACATGCAACACTCACAGATAAGTAATCTGCACTCCTCCTTCTTGTTTAAAATAGAGTACAGTAACTTTAACATCATTGTGGACTGGCAACTGAATGTGAACTCTCAGTGCAACTTTGAAATTAAGGGAGCGCACACCTGGCTGCTTAAGCATAGGAATATTAAGCAGAAATAGAAAAGAAGTATTATGTGCATGAGGCATATGTGAAATGGTCACTGGGCTTAATCTTTACAGCACTGCTGTCTACGTTTCAAATTAGAGGATGCACAGCAAACAAAAGTTCACTAGAGTTTGAAGAATGATTTCACAAGACCTAAAGGCAGTATAGTTTATCCAAGAAATAAACAAAAACTGTAACAGTTTACCACTACATGCATACAGGGGCTTTGCCTGCTGTACTAACTCTTTAAATCTTGTTAGAAAGGCAGTAACAATGTATTAGGATATTAAGGCTAGACAGATTTAGATAGGTGATAAAATGTAACAAAAATGCATTAATAATTTCTTAGAGATGTAGACGATCCTCCATTATTTGAAGTCTCTGGATACCTTTCTAAAGATAGCACAAGATTCAACATCACTGATCTGATTTGGGAAAAGCTCTTTGCTTTGCATTATGCAGAGATTCAGACTGAATGATCTTTTTTTGTCCCTGTTAACCATAAAGTCTACGAAGCAGAATTTTTCAGTTTGAAACCTTTCCATAAAGCTTTCTCCTCATTCTAAATATACAAGAAGTTACAGTAGGGAATTGAGGTGGTGTCTCTCTACCAGTTGTGAATACTCCCTTCAGCCTCCAATCTTTTGAACCATTTCCTTCCCAAAATATCCCACATAAACTACACTCAGAGTAGTCCTTCAGTAAGGACCCCATGGCTAACCTCAGTTCTGTTTAGAAGCTTTTTATATCTTTTTCCTGCCTGAATTCCTCTGCTCCTTCTGAAATGTACTAATTATCTAAACAGATTATTATGTAACATTTTTACCTCTTTTTAATAAAGAAAAATTAAGTCCACTGGCTTCAGCATAAAGCTTTGAAAGATGGGAATTCTGTTCAGAATTTGTTCAGAAGCAGCAGATTACTTAATGTATGTAACAAACCTTTAGAGGGAGTGAATAATCCCTCCTTATCTTTTACTCTGCTGCTGTGTGTCTATGGCATCAAACTGAGCTTTCTGCTGCATGTGGTCCCCAAAGGTCCCACGAGAACTTTGCGTAAGACCTGGCTTTGTTTATACATACATTAGTTAAAGACAGAGCCAAAGAACAGCATTTAATGTTTATTAAGCCTTTGCAAAAACACAGACACTTTTCAGTCAACTTGAAATTAATTATTTTAGTCAAATTCAAGTATTTCTTGCACATCTCACTGGACTGGCACTAGCAGTAGAGGCGGCAGCACGAGCACAGAGCACTGGCACTTAAAGCACAGAATCAGAGGGCTGAGTCTGCACAGATTTCAAAGGCTGTGCTATACAGAGAACATGCCAGATAGAGTAACATACTACAGGCAGTTTCACCTTCACTCCATTATGAAACTGCTTATTTTATGCTGTGTTACTGGATGGTTGTTTCTTGTGTGAAAAAGACAGAGGCCTTCTGGTGAGTTTTCTAAGCCTAGAAGGATGTATTTTGCATACTAGTAAGCACAGGAGGTTCATTTACATAAAAGATACGCAGTAGAAAAATACATTTTAAAATCCTCATTTTATCAAATTCAGACTACATCTCCGTATCTATGCAGAATAACACAAAGCTGGAACAGCACCTGATATAAATATCTTCTCATCCCATTTGCTCTTAGAGAGGATCCATGACGTGAAAATGTCACCTGAATGCATGCCTAGCGGCTATTGGCAGCGTGTCCCCTCCTTCCTGAGCACCTACAGGCTGTATAATTCTGTTCATCTTTCTGGTTATGAAAATCTGCTGGCAGTAAGATCAGTGCAATTCCTTGAAATAGTCATAAAGCTCTTATGACTGCTTTTGGAAGGGAGTGGAGAGACAATTAGGACAAGTCTCACCCATTTTTAATTCTTTTTTTTTTTCAATAAATGACTGAATTACCAGAAGAATCAAACAGAAGTTTATATACATGTATCAAATAGGGTTGGACTACGTGACCTGGACTGGACACGCAGATGTCCTTTCCAACCTCCACCATTTGTTATCCTCTGACATTGATCTTCTACACAAAAAAAACTGTCGAGAAATAATAAAGTCTTTAACAAGTAAGGGGTGAGGTCCTCGGACTATAGTGACAGAGGAAGAAAATCTTTAGAAGGTGCATTAGTGTGCACTGAGAATCTGTCCCAACACAGCTTCATGTTTTCTATTCTGAATATTCATAAGACCAATCAGTGCCTTCAATTAAAGGGAAAAAAAAAACATTTGTTTTTAATACGAAAAGGGACTTGGGTAACTAAACTCTCAAATCCCTTCATATGAGAAACAAGGGAATGAAAGGATTATGCAGAATCTAAAGTTCACTGAAATGTAGGCGCCACAGGCTTCCATTAGATGAAAGAAGTGTACTTCAGAACATGGAGAGAAACCCTGAAGCCCACAGTCAGAGAAACTTGAAGACAAAGCAGGATTTAGCTCATATTCTGAAGCAAAAAACTAGCAGCACAAAAGCATACGGCAATAAAACACAGCTTGTATAAGCTTTTAAGCCACTCAAAATAAAAGATGGATCTTCCATTCATTAAATACTCCTGCTGAAGAAAAGCATCAGCATTATATAGATCATGAGAACAATTTTAATTTTTTTATTCACCGGGGGATTAAGTTTTACCAACGACACTCATGCAGAAGTATTTTTTGCACTCAGTTTCAGCAGAACATCACATACTGCTTACAGCAAACCAACACCTTTCTGCTACTTCACTCTCCTTGCAGTGTTGTTCTTTTCCTTTTCTCCAAGCAAATTCTATTAATCATTAAACGCTTAAGGCACAAACAGAAAAATAAATAGTATCTGTAAAAACCAAGTCAAATACTTAATGAGCACACCTTATCTGAAACTTCTAAGTCTCACTGAATAGAAAATACCAACACAAAAAAACACTACTGAAATTGCTTCTTTATCCTGAGGACTTTATACACACTAAAACAATTTAACAACTTTAGCAATCTAAATCATCTATTCATCTTTCATTTTTAAATAGATGATAGATAAAATGCAGTTAGTTCCTCTGTGGATTTCTACTCCTACTGGGATGTCCAGCATCAGGACTGCCCAATTCACACAATTCATGCAGCAACACCAAGTTGCTCCCACAGGGACGTGTAAGATGGACACCAAACAGGGGAATGCAACTCAGCAATTATGAGCACCTATAATGAAGCTATCTATGGAGCAGCCAGTCTTTTGAGACTGTCTGTTATCAATGGGAAGAAATAGATCCCTACTGTGCACAATTCACTGTACCCTAAAACAGATGTCTGCAATTGTCTATATTCCTCCACTGACTATAAACAGAGCTTAAACTGATTAGCCGAGTTGCAGAGTCCACACTACCAATGTCAGAATTAAAATTAATTCCACCTTAAGATTGTATGCAGGTGTCCTCTTCCAAGTCTGCCTATGCAGCTGAAGATGGAACTGCAGTGACTTGTCTAAGTAGTACAGCTGTTGGACAAAGGAATGTCTGTTTACAGCCTAAGCAGGCTTTGGTTTATTGTTTAGACAAGACTGAGGAATTCAGACATTCCTCAAAGTGGTTTATTATTATTGTAGCAAAGATGCTTGAGCCTCCTTCTTACAGTCATCATCAAGATGGGTTAAATCAGGTATTGTTTCAAACTTACTATTTAGTAACTTCAATCCCATTCTAAATAAACCAGTGGCTCCTTTACTGGTCTGATTTCAACTTCCTGCAATTACAGACATTTGCACAGTACCTGTTCTGAGATACAGAGGCACATTTAGAAAACACCAAAGAGCACACCTGTATCCAGACCTGATCCTCTGTTGACAAAGCAGATCTGTAAATAATTTTACCATCTCCTATGTGTAGTTACACAGTGTCTTTTACGAATAGGAATGTTTAAAAGCTGTTTCAAGAAGAAATGGTAGTTCCTTACATAGAGCTGGATTGTTTTGTGATGGGTTCTGGCATTCACATTACCTTTCTTCCCATGCTCTTTTTCTTCAAAATCTTAATTATATTTTCAACATAATGAAGTAGGAGGAAGAGTCAAAGTGTCAAGACTCCCATGTACTCTTCAGTACTTTGATCCTTGAGGGGCAAAGGAAGAAGCCGTTGACACATACAACAAAAGCTCACTGCAGTGTTTCGTTGGGTTCTATCACGCAGGAGCTGCTTATGACGGATTCTTCCCCTAAGTGTCCATATGCAGCATCCACCCCAAAGAACTCTGACTGAAGTTATTTATCTTTATTCTCACAGTTGAGATAAAAGATACGCAAATATATTTCAGGTTTGTACATTCTATGAAATAATTATTTTCTATATGTAGAATAAAGCAAGGTTGCCCCTACAGAAAAGTGGTCCCTGCAAAACACAGCACTTCTGTTTTCTCTGGATTAAACAGATTCAATGACACTTTTTAGATAAGAAAGCCACTAAATTTTGTTCTGCAAAAGCAATCTTGTACTGATAACAATCATAAAGTCCGGTAATTGATGATTTCACGTTCTATTCCTCTTTTTCTAGCAATTCCAAGTTGCTTGCAAATTTAATTAGTTAACATTTCTCCCCGGTGAGTAGGTCCAACATGATGTGCAAACGCTTACATTGCCCTGTAAGGCATTTGTTCCCAGAAGAGATGGGCTGGCAGCATGAAAATAATTAAATGCCAATATACAATTGGCCTCTTTTATGAAAAATAAACAGGCACAAAGACAAACTGTTCCAGTGCTTATACTAACCAACAAATGTTGAGATGACTGGTTATTTTAAACACAGCAATGAGGCTGCAGTGCAGTTTACAGACTTTCATAAACTCAGTTTAACAATTTAGACTGTGTTCATAACTAAAGTTCTTATTTCTCTGATGAATCTTCATCTGCATTAACCTCTTCTCTTTTAAGCCACATAAGTGCTGACTTTGCTGTGCCATCTCCACTCTGTTGGGAAAAGCAAATGAAGGCAGCCCAGACAAAACCACAGAGCCCAGTATAAGCTGTTCGCAGGTAAACAGGCACAAAAATGAAGTTTGACAGCTGCATTGGAAGGAGAGAGAGCTTAGTTAGTGCTCCAGGCACGGTCAGGTCTTACACCTACACACCCAGCAACTCCACTGACTTCTCGCTGGGCTAGATATGCTATGACCATATCAGATCAGGTTTTATGAGAAGGAAAGGCTGAGTTACCCTAAAAACTCACCTGCACAAAAGGCCAGTACATCAGTCCCGTCTGAAATGAAAATGAATCATTTGTTATTCTTACAGAGATCAACGACAAAGATTCATTTTTTTCTTATCACATTTAGAAAAGACTGAAACATACTTGAGTAAAGTTAATAAAACCTGTTCAATTTTAAATTGCTTAACTTTGAGATTGCAATATTAAGTTTCTAATAATCTTCATGAGACTCTATGCTAGGAGTTTCCAAACACATTATTCTAACTAATTTTAAATATGAAACTCTAAGCACAGTTAAGTCTTGGCAGTCACCTGACACCAGATACATAAGCTCCTTTACCAGATGGGTGAACAAATGTTTAAATACGTGAACATTTGTTTCAGCCATGAATGAAAAATACCACTGAACGCTACTTCACACTTGCAATGCTCCTTCCAGTTACTCATCTATGTAAGGCTTTTTTGGAAAACCCAATGGATAATTACTCATAGAACAGAAGGCTAATAGAAACCTTATGGTTTGATAGCATATAGTGGGCACTGGTTTTAGAATCATCCTCCACAGGAATAAAAATAATCCTTTTCTACCCATATAAGTCCACAGTGTGAGGAAAAATTCACATTGCATCACAGGTTTTCCTTCTACAACTTTTTTTTTTTTTTGCTAATCTATCATTTTCTTACACCTGAGAAATCTTTACAATTCTTAATCTGCCAAGCTCTGAAGTAGCACAGATAATTTTTTCTTGCGTATGCAGAAAGGCAAACCAAATCCAGCTATTCATACCGGTCATCTTAAAACAAGAGTATTGTGTTTTTGAAAGTGATAAGACTGTCACTGAGAAGTACAGGCTGAAAATGATTCCTAAAAAAGATGTCTCTATAATTAGTGATTTTAACAGATGTCCCTGTAAGAGTTGTCAATGACATTACTAACTAAACAGAGGGAGGTACTTCTTAAGATAAAAGGTAGTACAATCTTAATCAGCATTGTACTGTAGGGCTCCAACTGAAACAGAGCTGAGTGCAAGTGTTATGTATATAAATATTGTACATTTTTTAAATGGCATCATTTCACCCAGCTGGCAGCAGTACCTGCTCCAGACTACCCTGCCTTCACAAGACTGATGGTACTTAAAGCCTCCTACACATAATCAAATAATGCAGTGAGAGAAAGCTGTTGGAAGAATGAGTATTTCAAGTATTTGATCTGGTAATACTCTTGTTTTGCTTAGCTGTGAGATAAGTGAACTGCTTGCCTCACCTTATATGTATTCCAAAATTTCTTTCTACAGTCTGAAAAGATGTCCTCTTTCTTCTGAAGGATGCTCATACCTGGTGGCAAAATATTTACAACGATCAGAAAAACATAAAAATTAAGTGTTCACTTTTTACAATGATATCCCAAACTCTTCTCAGAATATGTTACAATAGCTTTAGAAAGAAAGGATACTGTTCCAGCTACCTAAGAGTGCTACATCAGAGCTCCTCAGCTACTGACTTGGCTCTAAGTGTTGGCACTGTAGATCACCAAGAATATACTGTACAGGTGGTATATCACATCTGTTCCACTGCCACATAATTCACCAGTGGTATAGAGTGGAATAGGCATGATGGAACCTTTTACACCCTTGAGATAGAGAAAATAAGACATTCTGTTCCCTATGGAATTGTCAGGAGTGGCTCAGATCCTCAAAGGAGTTTAGGTGCCTACAGACCACTGAAGGCAGTGGAGAAGGGCACCTGATTTTTATTTTCCTTTTTAATTTCAGCTATAATCATTATTTTTTTTCCTTCACAAATAATTGTATCAAATCCAAATTCTAGTACTGACAAGCAGAAAAGTTTCAAACCTAATTGTTTAACTCTCCACATACAGAGTTGCAAAGTTTTAAATAAATTCTAGTTCATCCAATCTCCTCATGATTCCAATAAAACCCAACCTCACACCAGGCTCCCACCATTCCACCCAAGATCAAGAGAAAAGCAGTATGACTTGAAATTACACATTACACACGTGCAAACCAGAAACAAACTGAGTGAACTCCAGTCACATGAAATCATTTAAAGAGTTTATTATTTTGAGCCCTTTAACTGCTATTTCATGTGTCTCGTGTAATGAGAATCTTTACGTGTCAAATGAAGACTGCATCTTTCTAAGGGATGAGGCAGCTTTTTAAAGATCACTCACCCTAACTGGAAGACAGGACCCGTATTTTGCAAAGGTATTAGAAAATATGCTTTTAGCAAATCTAAATAAAATCTAATAAAATTAAAAGCACATAAGAAAGGGCCCAAAGTTGCTTAGTCCAACTCAGGCATCCTTATAGGTATTTGCATGCCACGAGGTGATTGGTATTTCTCAATCAAACATTATTTTGGAATCACACAATTCTGCTACGCAATTTAAGGATTTTTACCATCCCTTTCATGATCCTTCAAACCCTGTTGGTCCTTCAGCAACTCTGCTTACATTCCGATGCAGGCAGATAGGATTTTGAGAGTATCTGGCATTTGACCCCTTCCTTCCTTTCTTTTCAATCACAAACTGAATTATTTCCCGGTCAGGGTCATAAAATGCAGATGTCACAATGCCAGGCAAAAAGAGCACACGTCTTGTTCTTCTTCCACATGACATTTAAGTTAAATGACAGCCTTGGTTTACACTAATCTCACCTGTTATTCTTCTTATTCCAACATGTTTATTTTTTAAATAAACAGTCATCTTAACTGTCTTTGTACTCGATAGTTTTTAAGATCACACAGTACTAGTATGCTGTATTTCTACATACTCTCAAAGCAGAAGGTGGTACAATTTGCTGAACTATAGCATTTCCTGACATTTCTAGCTGTTTGTGTTTAGGAAAAGAGAGAGCTGATACGGAGAACCGAGCAGAGCAATTCAAGCAGACAAGGATAGAATAATCCTTTTCAGGTGCTTTTAATTCTTTGTCACTAACTAACAGCTGCGGGGCCTAACCAAGCCCAGCGCAGAGCTCTCCTTGGCACAGCACTCGATGCTTAAAGCTCTGCGCGTCGGGCTGTTCAGTACACAACCTGGGGCAGAGCTACCGGCTTCTGCAGGTCCCGACCCGACCGTCTCCTAGCTCCGAGCTCTGGCAGGGCTGCACAGCAAAGCAGGCAGCCCGCTGCCCAAGCACCCCGCAGCTCCGCACCGGTGGCTCTGGAGCCGCGGCGATCACCGCCCGGAAGGTAGGGAGGCACCCGGGCAGCCCGGGGTGCACAGCTCGCTTTCGGTAGGCGCTCTTCCCTCGGCGTGCGGCCGCCCGGTTCTCCTCCCGCCGCCCCGAGATGGCGGTGCCCGGGCGGCGGCATCACTCACCCGTGTAAAAGGCGAGGACGGCGACGGGCGCGCCGAGGAGCTGGTCGCAGAGCACCTTGCCGAGGACGGCGGGCGGGCGGCGGCCGGGTAGCGCCCGCTCCAGCGCCCGCAGCCAGACATAGCTGAAGTTGCCGTGGAAGGCGAGAGCCACCAGCGCCACTCGCCGCGTCTGCGCCCAGTCGGGCGGCTGCCCCCGCCGCCGCCACAGCTGCTGGGCCGCGTCGCCCGCCGCGAAGAGCCCGCCGTACAGCAGCACGTTGCAGAGCCAGGGGAAACGGCGCACCCCGCCGCGCAGCAGCGCCCCGGCCATCGCCTGCCGCCTCTTCCGTCTGCCGCCGCCTCCTCGCGGGCCCGCCCGCCGCCACCGCCCTCGCTGCGGTCCGTGCGTCCCCTCGGGGCTCCCCGCCCGGGTGCCACCGCAGCCGGGCCTGCCCCTGCAAGGAAGGGCCGGCACCCTGCGGTGGGGCCCGAGCTCGGGCTCCCCGCGTCTGTCGCCGATGGGCTCGTGGGTGGCCGGAAGGCACCCGGGCTCCGGTTCGTGGTCTTAAGTGACTGCGTTCACGCAGAATTAGGTTACTATGTCTTGCTGGGCTTTGGTATAGGTCGCACTATGGATGTACCGTACAGTATTGCTACACTGATTAAGAGATAAGTGAAAACTAGGCGCTGTTCGCTTATTGTCTGTTTAATTATCTCCTTGTCGCTTGCTTACGTGAGCACGTTATGGGGTTTTCAAATTTGCTGTTGTTTCGCAGTCTGGTTTCTGCTGCCTGATTGCGCGGCGATGGTGCGCACCTGAGCACCTGCGCGGGTGCCCTCTGCTGTTGGGCCATGTGAAGAGAAAAGCCAGCAGCGATGTATGCTTTATTCGAGACTCGCGTACGGAGCTTTACACTCACGGAGCCGTTGCGAAGGAGCAGATCTGACGTCCAGGCAACGAGCTCACTCCTGGGACGGGATGAATGCGCCGGAAGCCATCGTGAAGCCTTCCAGGGATGGCTTGCAGATTGAAAAACGTTTTAATCACAAGGTAGAGCGAGGTGAGCTGCCCGGTGCTAGAGAGACCCGCGCCGGCCACTCCGCTCTCCTCACACACAGAAATGGCCAGGCGGGAAACAGCCTCCGCGGTAGTCATAGAATCGTTTAGGTTGGAAAAAGACCTTTAAGATCAAGTCCCAACCACTCACATCTGACACCTGGAAGTGGGGCTATTAAATAACAGAAATGGCTTTCGGAGGAAGAGGAATGTGCACCAGCGAGTAACTACAGCTGGCAGGACCAACAGGAAGGCTCTGGACAGCCGGGCTTGGCTCCCCAGTGCTCGGCCCGGCGGCCCATGGCCCCTGGCGGTGTTGCCCGGGGTCACCCCGCAGACCCGTACATTCAGGAAGGTTTTGGCGCCCCTGTAACGAACCCCGTAGGCCAAGCGGACGGCGCCGGGGTGACAGCCGAGAGATCTGTGAATGCGGGAGCCTTCCGGGGTACCCGGGGACCGAACCTCGACAAGCCGGCAGCACCCCACACACCTCCCGCCTCCCTGCTTAGCTCCACGGCGGAGCTGTGCGGATCGCGCTCACTGCGCATGCGCTAGTACCTGTCATCTCCCGGTCGTGCCGCGGGACTGTTCCACCAGCTGCAGCGGGGGGACCGGGAGGCGACGGGTGGTGAGCGTGAGGGAGGGAGCGGGGTGCTTTCTCCGGCCCGTGCCGTCACGGCGCGGCATTACCACGCTTTCTGCAGTACCACTGCGTCTCATTCCCCCCGCCCGTGTGCGCGGTGGTGTCGGCCGCGGGGCGGGCTTGTCGCTGTTCCCTAGGTGAGCGCGTTCTCGCCCCGCCTGCTGCGGCCTCGTCAGCGCTGCCAGCGTGGAGCCGGCTGGGGCTGAGGCGGAAGTGCCTAACGGGGAGGCGGCGCGCACTGGGGAGTCCGCCGGCTATGGACGCTTCTCTGGAGAAGGTCTGCGGGGCGCTCTGGTGCCAGCTGGACGGGGAGGGGCGGTGGGGGCCAGGGCACCTGCGTGCGGAGGGGCGGTGAGTCGCGACGGGCCCTGGGGGCGAGCGGGCCCTGGCGGTCGCCTCGCTGCGGGGCTGCGGGGCCGCGCCTGGGGCTGAGGGGAGTGAGCCGGGGCGGGGGCCGCGCTCCCCCGGCCCCTCGGCTGCGGCGGCGGTGCGGCTCTGCCGGGGCTGGGACCGGTGGACCCGGAGGGCTGTGCCTGCCCTGTGTCACGCAGCCTACGACCGCCAGCGCAGTCCACGGGCGAACCCTGTCCCATGGTCATCGGCGCCCGTGTGAGCGCCGTGCTTGCGTGCCCCGGGTCCGTAAAAAGTGTGCAGAACCGTCAGGAAATGCTTTAGGAGCTCGTTTTTTTATTTGCTTCCTGGGAATGTCAGCCTGCAGCAGGATAGTAGAATCTTGGTTTACTTCCCACACACACAATTTTATACTGGTGGTGTTTGCAGCCCTGTGTTTGCTCTCTTGTGTCCAACGCACTGTACAAAGCAAATATTGATTCTGTAATACCGTAAGTGACTGACAAAACTTGTATTGCCTTTGTCGCTGTGAGCCAGTCAGAACCCGGTAAGGTAATCCAGGATATGCCATGCTTCTGCTGGCTTCCGTGGCACCTGCTTGCTTCAGAAGACCTGCCCTGGAAGGTGGGGATGGAATGGCTGCTCGTGCATAGCTTATCATCCTTGTTGTGTGTCTTCGAGGCCAGTATGCGTTTGAAATAATTTATACTTCATGTACTTCCTTCCTCAGCATCACTTATTATACATAGCACATTCAGTTTTGTTTAGTCTTTGGAATGCCTTGGAAAGATTGAATGGGATGTGTTCTGGTAAAATGAATGGTTAGGAAATTCAGGAAGTTATCTTCCTGATGTGGTTAGCGAATTGGTAGCCAAATGGTTTGATATACTACAATCCACTTGAAAAATACAGTGTTAAAGAGTATTTGGTAGCATTTAAAAGCTCAAGTGCTTTACTAGTGCTGGCAAAAGTTACAGTGGCTACCGCTTGTTATGAAAAGTTTTCATTCCTTAAGTAAAACTTGAATGAATATACTAGTTTGAAATACAGTTTTCATCCACAGGACTCAAGCAGAATAATGGTACAATATGCAGTGAAGAAAGCACATTAGCGCAGGGCAAGTGTTTGTCCTACAGTAATGACAAAGCCCTTAAACTTTGTTAGACAGGGTCATCGGTCATCATAAGCAATAAAAATGCCATATAAGAATTAAATACCTTAATTTCTTAACAGAATAAAAGTCTGAGTTTTGGTTGCTTGTATCCTTGATGTAAGGAATCATCTATAATGGTGAGGGCCCTGCAAAAACTCGCATGTCTGATTTTTCAGTATATGCAAATAGATATGAATAGTTAGTATTTGGTTTACTTCCTCCGTTGTTTATCATGGCTTTTTTTCACATGTATGCTGAAATTGGTACTTCTCTGTATAATAACATGCCACAATACAGTAATGAGTTAGTGCCCTCCTGAAACAGTCTTTGGTTAAGATTGTTGTCAGTCTGTACAATCTGCACTTTATTTAGTTAGGAGCATGATATGTAAGAAGTCTTCTCCCTAAATAAATTTAAAATTAATCCAAATTGGGGTATGTTTCTCCTCAGAGAGAGTGTGTCCGTGTATTTTGGGCTTATTTATGCATTATCATAATACATCTGAGATTGTCTCCTGTTTGAACTGTGGCTTCTCTCCTTATGTGCTTATCACTGGGATCCCAGTAAGCTACATGTATAAGTACTTTTTAACTTGGATTAAAACTTGACAAAATGTTGTATTTTTTGTTACAAAGAAGGCATTTTGGTTACCCAGTTAGCTGACACTGAATTACTACAGTTGTTAGGTTCTTGCAAATGGAAGAAGGTTTTTTCTTTTTTTAGCAGATGAGAAATTTCCTGAGAACTGAAAACACTGCATGACAGGATCACAAGCAAAACCACTGTAGAATCTGATGCATGCTAACAATCTCGTAGTTTGATTTTGCAGATTATCTTTGGGGTATCAGACAAATGGTTTGGTTTTGGTTAGGCTTTTTTTAATGTATTTATATTGTATGTCATATGTGATATAATTAGAATGAATTTTATCTGAACCCCAGAAATCTTTTTTCTTTTTGAGTGAACTTCAAATTTAAGTTCTTTGGGAAGTGTTAAATTTCAGAAGTTTGACTAACAGATCTATGATCTGCCTTCCTCCCTGTATTATATTTTGATAAAAGTGACCCATCTTCTGAGGGATTCTAAGTTTCAAGTTAGGTAACTTTGTGTATGGTAAAATAGGACAAATTCTTTCATTGTACCTTCTTGCAGTCTCTAGAGCAATGTTTTCCCTAAACCCAAAGAAACTGTTCTGGTTTCTTGCTCAGTCTTTTGTTACTGACAGCAACATCCTGGTAACTTTGTGGAAAACTGGTGTCAGCAGATCTGTATGAAAATCCTGCTGCACCTCACAGGGAAGTGATAAAGATTAAAAGAGCAAATACCCATAAGCAGAAGCTTTGTGGTAATATAGTGCCATTTTCATTCTAGCCTAACAGTCATGAAGTGGTTGCTTTTTTGTTATCCAAAGCTTTTATTTGCCTGGAGAATAAATACACAAATTCTTTTGGCTAAAGAATACTGCTATTGTTTGAAATTAATTTACTGTTGAGAACAGGATTTGGTTTTTTGATGGTAAAGCTGTCTTCTAGTGAAATGTAACATTGTAGTGGGAAAATGAGGCATACTGCTCATGAAATACGTGAGTTGCACCTGTGAATTTGCACACACAGAATAATTTCTGTAGACAGTTTAAAAATCATTCCTTTCTTATATTAGGAATGCAGCCTACAGAAATGCAAAATCAAGACTGTAAACCAGTGGTACATGAAACATTCTCCTTTTTGAATTTGTAATAAATGTTCAGTCTTATCGCAACTGGAGAGCAGCCAGGTTGCCAAGGTGTGACATACTGCCTATAAAACCAGAAATGGTTTAGAGTTCAAAGTGCTTAAAAAAATTGTAACAGATTAATTACAAAATAAGGGAGTAACCACAAGCCAAACCTATCATGAGTTAATCTGAGTGAATAGGGTTAACACATTTTTAAGGCAACAAATGATGAAAGTCAAAGTAGGGTAGTGAACGTCAGGGTCTTTGGAGGGCTTAAGGAAGCAGGAGGTATTGGTGCTGAATGGATTCCTTGAAGAAAGAAACTGTGGCTGGCACCTCCTTAGAGCTTGAAAGGATATTGCATGTCTTGTAACTCATCAAAGAATCACCTGTGATCGATTGGAGTCAAATCCTGGGATACCAGGGGCAGGACTGAGTGCAAAGATTAAAGTTAATATAGTAATGCAGCTGTTTTAACCTCCTGAAAAAATGTCCTGTGGTTCAGGACATAGTATTCA